TACCACCGGCGGAGAAAGGACGGGTGAGGCCGCGACCCTTCCCCCAGCCGGCAGCGCGGCGCCCCGACTCGGGTCGCGTCGGCCCGGCGCTAAATTAAAAAACTTGACTCCTAGCAGTGGTTGCGTCGGAAAACGAAAGCAAAGTCTCCCCAAAGGCGCCTCCCAGACTTGCGGCCCCTCCGCGCGCCGCGCTACCCGGAATAGACCCTTCTCCCGCCATTTTCGCCGGCTCTGGGCAGGCCCCGCGCCCTGAGGGCTGAGGCCTGCTCGCGCCGCGGGAACAGCGGGGCGCCATGGCGGGCGGCGGGGACGGCGGGGACGGCGCGCCGCCGGGCGGCTGCGGGCTATGGTCACAGGTGGGCGGTGAGGGCATAGCGGTTCCGGGACGCCAGGCTTCAGGCCGGGAACCCCGCGGTGCAGAAAGCTGAAGACCCGTCCACGCCTCCGGAGGAGCCTACCCTTCTCCCCCTCCATTCCGGCCTCTCTGGGTGCAGCCACTCTCCGGCCCGGGAGCTCAGGTAACTTACCTTCCAAGGTCATTCTTCGGGCGGGGCCGACCTGGCGGCCCGCCCACGTCCTCAGATTGGCAGGGGCGGGGAGGGTGTGAAAAGCCGGGCTGGACGGCGACCCGAGCGCAGCCGGGGCGCCTGCTGGTCTCCGCGGAGCCGTCGCTGCTCCCGGCTGCCCACGCTTGGTCTCTGCCTCCAGCCCCGGGGGCGAGTTTCCACCCGCGCTTTGGACGGGGACGGCTTTGCCTACCAACCGGCATCCGCAGGTGAGCGTGGCCGCCCGCGCCGGGGCTGTCCTGGGCCGGCCTGGCAGCGTGGTGGGCTGTCGCTATGGGAACGGCGGGTGCGCTGAGGGCACCTGCCCTGGATCGAAAGGGACTGTGAATTCTGCTCGAGCCCCTAGGGCCAACCCGAGACTCTCGGTCGGGCCAAGCCGAGCCACAAAAGCCTGGTAAGAACGGACCCCCTCCCCCCTCTTCTCATTTTTGATTTCTCAGGCGTTGGCGGTAAATCAGAGGCGTGGATGTGTTTACAAGATGTAAGTTGTGCTCTTTACCTTGTGCGAGCTTCTTACGCCCCGTGGTGACAGGTGCAAATCATGGCACAGAAGGGCAGCATGAAGCCAGCGAAGAAAAACAGAGCGGAGGAGCCAGAATTGGAGCCCCTGTGCTGTTGCGAGTACATAGATCGAAATGGAGAAAAGAACCACGTGGCCGCTTGTTTGTGTGATTGCCAAGATCTGGACGAAGGGTGTGATAGGTAAGAGCTAGCTTCTTTTGATGCTTACTCCACTAGCGCTTTTAAGTAGTACCGTGTGTACTTCCAGCTCGGCATTCTAGAACACTGGAATGGACTCTTGATTTTATATCCAGGGGTCTAAAATTCGAGTTAGTTGTCTGTGTGAAATATGAGGATTTTTCAAAGATGTGTTATGGGGTTGTGTACAACTATCTGTTCAGCTAGGCCACTGGGACCTTGCTGCTTTGGTTAAAAATATGATGGAGAGATCAGATAAAGGGTTAGCAGGGAAGTTAATGTATAAAAAGTGAACATCAGCAGAACCCGTAAGGTTAAAACCGACATGTTAAGGTAGACGACCATCCAGAAAGTTCCTGTCTCTTCATAGCCTTGGCATGTTGAGACTTGCTGGGGACTGGAGGGCTTGGCCAGGGGGCTTTGAGGCTTGAAGGACAATTTTCCTCCTCCTGGAGTTGGCTCCATCCCTTGTTTCTGGGGTGGAATTGCAGTCAGAAGTTCTGTCCTTCCTCTGGAAGGTGTTCAGGGTGAGGGCGACAGTGTCTTGACTGAACTGATTATATTTGGCTTTTATTCAATAATGGAAATGACTAACCAGAAAGATCATTCATGGCTAACATCATTGAAAAAAATTTAAAACGAACAGTAATAACCTGGTTTTCATCCTTCTTATCAATAGTTACTTTTAAATTGTTGTCATATGGAAAGAATAAAGTGGGAAGAATAAGGATGTTGGCAACTTGCTTTTTCTATTAATAACTGCGCCTGGTTAAAATTACTGCAATGGCAAGATCCAGCATATAACCTGGTGTGTTAACTTAGCCATGACAAGCATTCCCCAGGGACTGCTGTGGTCTAGAACCTGCCTTGACACCTGAAGACCCTACAATTACAAATCCCATATGTAATTCTTCCTTGACAGTGACCTTAGCTTCCCCTCTCCCCAAAACACAGATGTCTTTAAATATAATACAAGCTTTTTAGATTTAGCCTGAAATTTGTGCTAAGTAAATGGAGCACTTTGTAAATGAAGGAGTGATGTTTCCATAACCTCCACCACTTGAGACTTCAGCACTTCCATGAACCTTCTGACTTTTCCTCTCTCCTAGCTCGTGGGATCTGGGCTGTCTCTGAGTTCTCCCACTGCTCTCTCCATACCCTTCTCTGGAGACAGCCTCTTGATAGTGCCACTGTCCTGCTCTGTAGGACTCCCATAAGTCAGTCTCCCACTCGCTTCCAAGTTCTACCTCTACTTTTTTTTTTTTTTGTCTGTTTAAAATCAAAGTTATCATTCCTTAAACAAGCCTAAGTGTGTAGAAAAATGCCACAGGTCATATGTGTGCGCAAAGCTGCCATTGACTAATACTGGTTTGACCTCTGCTTTCGTTGACAAAACCTGTGACCCTTCTAGATCGTTTACTCTTGGGCCCAGGACAGGTCCTGTGCTGCGCACATCTCTCTTTTACTGGGTTGCCTTTCCCTCCCTACCTGCACAGTGCTAGGCAGCCGTCAGGGTCAAGCACAGATCCCACTTTTCCCTAAAGACCTTCTGATGCCTCTACCCAAAACTTCCTCCTCCTCTGGGCATTCCCTAGTGTTTGACCATAATAGTTCATGGGGTAATTTTGTCAGTTAACTAATTTTTCTCAAAGTTCCCATGTTGTCTTCTCTTCATTATGAATTTTTTTTGAGATTGTTGTTTGTGTACCCACCCAGGTGTGAATTTTTTTGAGATTGTGTTTGTGTACCACCCAGGTCCAGACAGTACTCACTTGGAGTATATGCATATTCCTCTATATTTGTTTTGTGGAGAAATAGTCTTTATGTTAAATTTCTACACATTATCTTCTTGTACATATTTAAAAATGATACATGAATCTGAGAGGCTTGTGTTGCAATTAGGAAGGAGAATACTTGGCCTTGACCAACTCTTATTAATCCTGCTGTTGGCATGCAGTGTTCAGTGGTATTTAATTCAACAGACCTATATGAAGCGCCTTCTCTGTACTCTTTCTGAATAGATGGATAACGTGTAAATCTGTGCAGCCAGAGACTTGCGAAAGAATCATGGATACAATCTCTGATCGCCTCCGAATTCCTTGGCTTAAAGGAGCCAGAAAAGTCAACATTAGCATCATTCCCCCACTCATCCTGCTGCCCGTCTTCCTCCACGTGGCTTCTTGGCACTTCTTCCTGGGCGTGGTGGTTTTGACCTCCCTTCCTGGCCTGGCTCTGTGGTACTACTACCTCACTCACAGAAGGAAAGAACAGACTCTGTTTTTCCTGAGCCTCGGACTGTTCTCCCTGGGCTACATGTACTATGTGTTCCTGCAGGAAGTGGTCCCCAAAGGGCGTGTAGGACCCACTCAACTAGCTCTTCTTACCTGCGGGTTATTTCTGATCCTCTTAGCCTTGTACAGAGCCAAGAAGAATCCAGGCTACCTCAGAAATCCAGCTAGCGATGACACTTCTCTAAGCAGCAGCCAAATCGAATGCCTGAACAGAAAAGGGCAGGAGAAGACCAAAGGGTTCCCTGGAGCTGATTCGTCAGGAAGTCTCAACAACCGCTCACTGAAGGATGAACCCAAGGGCATGTCCAGGATGTTGGCTGGAAGCCCTGCCAAGGTGAAGGAGGACTGGTGTGCCAAGTGCCAGCTGGTGCGACCAGCCCGGGCGTGGCATTGCCGCATCTGCGGCATTTGTGTGAAGAGAATGGATCATCATTGTGTCTGGTATGTTGGAGGCCTATGGAGTGCAAATTCACTAAGACTGGTGGTGTTTGGTCTTCTTTATGCCTTCCTAAAATTCTCTTCTTCCCAGCTTTGCACCTTGTAGATATTTGTGGGCTGTTATGATGTTCCCACTTAGTCATCAGTTTTTCAAGTTTCACAAATTTAGTTCTTTCAGTCATTTCCTGAAGTTTTGTTTTTTTTTTTTTCCGTTCTCTTTTGAGCTGCCCCTCATTTATCTTTATTCTAAAAGAGAAGTAACTGTAGTCAATTGATTTTATTTTTTTAAAGCATTTGTCAGAATCTGCATAGGGGTGTTCCCCTGTGTATTCCTTTGAACACAGTAAAAGAAAGTGTTCCATATTTTTATGTGACCTTTGTCCTTTCAAGGGTCTTACATCCATATGGACTTACATCCACAGGCCATTTGTGATGCTACTAGTGATTTCTAGTCTATAAGGTTGACAGCAGGTCCTAGCAGATAACTTGTGATTTAGTTATTTGGAAGGGATGCGCTTTTTTGGTACTACCTGACTGGCCAGAGACAAATGAAGACATGTAAGACCCACGAGCTATATATAAAACGCAACTTTTAAAGATAATAAATATTGCACTTTGAGTAAATCTAAACCACAGGGAGGAGAGTTAGTTATTTCAGGTGTGACTGCAGTTAAGTAATGTGATTACAGGTTTATTGCTTTTCAGGCAGTTATCCTCAATGCATTAATGCTTTTTTTAAAGCTAGGGCTAGGCATCTGACCATGTAGCCTCGCTCCCTTTCAGAAGGGCAGGTAGGAGAGGGTCACGGTGCAGAAGGGACGGGAGGGCAGTGGGGTGGACCTCAAGCGCAGTGCTCAGTCCGGGGAACCGCTCTTTTCTGGACTTTCATCTTTCGCAGTAAATATTTTCATTTTTAGACTCTCCGCATCTCTTTGTCAGTTTTTCTCACACATATGTGTTGGCCCACTTACAAGTGCAAGTGTGCGGAGGCTTGCCAGCCTCTCCTAAGAGACCTCTGCCTTCGGGCCGCCCCAGTTCCCGTGTGGCCTGCCCTACAAGGGCTGTGGCACGGAACTCTTTGCTGACAGCTAGTCCACATGTGACTGCGTCGGCCACACCATCTTTCTAACCTCTTAGGGTCTTTTTGTTAATATATGTATTTAACGTATATTTTCCCAGTCTGTGTAATACTTCTGATTTAGCATTTGTTTTGTTTTTATAACTCTGACAACATTCCTAATCATGGTGACTATCATATTCTTTATAGCTGCTAATGGACTTGCTTGTTAATATTTGGGAAGATTTGTTAGGCAGGTTGTGCTTTTTATTTAGTCTTGTCCTTAAACTAATGGACAAGTTCACTTTACAAAGAGCATAAAACGTAAGACTATGTCTCTCAGCAGACAAGGTTTTAATCCCCTAAAATTAAAAAATAAGGGAACTCACTTCGATCATTGAAATTCATGCTATCCTTGTTCTCAGTTTTCTTGTTTACTGTTAGAGAACTTTTAAAAACATGTTTGTTTCCCTCCCCCCCCATGCTGTTTTGAGGATAAATAGCTGTGTTGGAGAATCAAATCATCAAGCATTTATACTTGCCCTTTCGATCTTCTTGCTTACCTCGGTGTACGGGATAACGCTGACCTTGGACACCATTTGTAGAGATAGAAGTGTCTTCACTGCTCTCTTCTATTGTCCTGGAGTTTATGCAAATTACAGGTGAGACTTGAATAACGGGGTACTGAGGTCAGAGGAGAAGAAATGCTGTCGTCATTAATGCTGTTAGATGGGGCTTGTCAACCCAGAGGCTGTTAAGGATGCTGAGTATCCCTGAAATTGGCAACAAAACTGTGCAGTGGAGAGGTGCATTTTTCTGGGTTGATATCAAAAGGATCCTTGACTTTTAAAAAGTGAGGAACTAGGGCTCTCCCTGGTGGTGCAGGGTGTTAAAGCACAGCACTAAGAAGCTAAAGCCACTTCAGCATGAGCTCAATTCCGGTACCGGAGGTGACCCACATGGCACAGCAAACCTCTCCTGACATGTCTGCTGCTCCCCTCAGCAGTGTATTTCAATGATCTGCCTGTTCTGCTCCCCACTCTGTCTCTGGTGAATCCTCTCACTGACCCTGCACCTCTGGCCTGTACCCCAGTTCTATAATGCATAAATAAATAAATCTTTTAAAAACGAAAAAGTGAGGAACTAGTGTTCTCCGAGTAGGACCAGACTTCACTAAGGATTTCCAGTGACCGCTGTCACGCCCACAGTATCAACTATGAGATGAAAAACAGCTAGTAGTACGGGTGGGTGTAGTCTGTCCCATCAGTACCAGCGACCTACTCGCTTTATTGTTGCCCAAGCTCAGTTTACCGTATCCAACCATTTTACGAAATGCTAGTTTCTATAACCTTTCTTCTCTTTAAAATCTCCGTTGGTTTTTCCTGTTCTACTTTTTTTTAATCACCCCTCATGATTACTTTGGTATCTAGGTCAGCGTTCCCTTAGGTATTGTCAGGTTGGAGCACATTTAGATAACGCGAAGGTGTCCACGCTTTGGCAGGAGCTGGGCATGTTCCGCATGGGCTTCCTACCCTCAACACCCCGGATGCCTCCTGCCTGTGCCCTCTGTTCTGTTCCACCACTTTCCCATGGTCCCACGCCCTTTTCTTCCTTTTCAGTCTTTGTTTTCAGATCAATCCCTGTTTTAAATTTATTGTATCCCTGGGCAGACATTTGTTTTTATTAGTTGTGGATAGATCTCCCCATTGTGATGACAGAGACACATTCGTGGGCACTACTACACTAGATTGGCTCTCCTTCTCAGGGTACGTTCCTTTTTGTGGATGTGGAGAAACGCATGCATCCTAAAGTGGACTCAGTGTATATAATAATGGATTTTGTCAACTTTCTCTGAGGGCCTTAAACAGAACAGGGAGCTGAGTCTTGCCGTTGGTTGTCACTGCTCTGCACGGAGCAGTCATTGGTCTTCCTCATCTTTATGGTGAAGACAGAGATCTCTGAGGTTTCAGTTTAACAATTGAAGATAGTGGAGGAGTGATTTCCAGTTAACTTTTCACTTGTAAAGTGTTTGAATGAAAATAATCATTCCGCAGACACTTATTTGCAGACTTTCCTCCCAGTCTTACTGATGAGCTGCAAGGAACTTTTTTGTCCTGTTTGGCTCAGGAAGCTGAGTTGGAAATGTGATGATAACGCCTACATAGCTTATGAGTAAAATTGGCTTTTTATTTGTGTTCATCAGTACTAAACCAAAAAGAATGGAGATGAGTCCCTCTAGCAGTATCCCTGGGCCACGATTTCTTTGAGGACATGTGTAGAATCTTATGGCACCGCCCCTTTCTTCTGAGTTAGGAACAGCTTAAGAATTATTCAACAGTCGGATTCTGAACCCTATAATTTTAGGCACTGTGTTGGTTGTCGGTTGTGTGGAAGATACAAAATGCAAGGAAAAAAAAACCAAAACAATTCTCATACAATATACTAGAAACAGAGATACTAGTAAAACAGAGCGAGCTAAGTCATAGGTTAAGCAGCTTGTTGTCCTGTGGCTGGGAAGTATCTTACAGTGGGATGATGATGGGTGGTGCCAAAGTCCCTGGTAATAAATACTACATGTGTAACATCCATGAACAAGCCAGCAGTCCTGACCCGCCCTTTCCCCGATTCCAGCTCAGCACTGTCCTTCACCTGCGTGTGGTACTCTGTGATCATCACCGCGGGCATGGCCTACATCTTCCTGATCCAGCTGATAAACATCAGTTACAATGTGACGGAGAGGGAAGTCCAGCAGGCCCTTCGACAGAAGACGGGGCGCCGGCTCCTCTGTGGGCTCATCGTGGACACAGGCCAGTACAATCGGGGCTTCCTGCGGAACTGGCACCAGTTCTCCACCCTGGGCACTCGCCCATTCCACCACCCTGCTGAGGACATCGTCTGAAGTGCCTTCTGCGGGGCTTCCGGGAGGGCTGGCTCCTCCGTCGGCTCCTTCCTCCTGTACATTTCCGTGCTCATGCAGGATGTTCGTTTTTATTCCCAGTTTCTTAAAGGCATTTTAGGCCATGCTCAGGTTTAGAGACTGGACTGGGAAGCAGTTAATCTTTCTGACATAACAACTTAGGAGATTTTTATATCGAAGCTGTGAAAGTAGAGCCATTCCTTTCCAGTCACCTTATTAACTAATTCAACCACCAGAAACTGAAAAGGGTGCGGATTGCTGATGCACAAGTTGATAGAAGCAATACCCATCCGCTGGTCTGCGAGAAAGAGTTTTGGGTTAGGACAGTTCTCCATCCTCTTTCAATTCCTAATAGCCATGTGGCCCTTGCTGGGTCACTTCCTGAGTCTCAGGTTCTTCTGTAAAGTGGGATGCTGAACCTACCCTGGCTGTCCCACGGAGTGGTCATGTGGGTCACATGAGGGATGAACTGTGTGTGGAGAACAGCTCAGCACAGATGCTGTGACGTGTTATTCAGAAAATGCTAAGTCTGAAAAAAAAATGTAAGTCAGGATCCTGAAGCCAATATTACTTGAGTAGTCAGTTTTCAGCACTTCACAGTGGAAAAAAAAAATCCCCAGAGGCCATGCTGTACAGTTGGGGGAATTTCTTTCTGAAGTATTAACAACTCACACATGGTAGAAGAGGCCCAGATGGATTTACAGTGTCATCGAATTTTGAAAGGACAGTTGGTAACAGCTTTAAAGATTATCGTGCTGGTAAACTGTACAGTGGTCATGAGGTCAGGTGAGGAGTTCTCATGTTTTTCCTCCTGTTTATTCTGTTGGCTCTACTATAAATAGCCCCAAAGGCATTAATGATTTTCCCCCTCGCCATGTTTCACCTGGAAGCACCCCGTGATAATGGCTGGAACAGGAGAACACACACTCCTATGGGAAACACTCTTTCCTGAGGGGTGTGACTGATTAATACCAAGGGCTTTTGTTGTTGATCTGAGTATTTCAAACACAGGTACAGCTCTCAGTTGCAAGATCACTCTCTGGCCTCATCTTTCTGGCATGAACTCCTTTGTGGAGCTGATGGCATCCTCCCACGACACCTGCACCTTACTTCGTTCACCTTTCTATAAAGTATCTTCCTAGGAGAGAACAAATAAGAAATATGTAGTTTCTGCTAATGAATGATTACTGTTCTTTCCCTAGCTTTGCCTAAAAAAATCCAGTTTCTTTAATTACCTCAGAAGTGAAAGTGTTACAAAGGATTAAATATTTATATAGTTCTGTTTCCCTGTAGAATTAAAATGAAGGAATTTTGGATGGGGGTGATACCATCTTGAATTTTTTGGTTTGTATACTTGGCCTTTTTCTTAGAATCTCAAAGGCAATTCATGAGCCCTTAAATTCACCTTGGCTTCTCGCTTAGTATAGAGAGAGTATTGCCAGCTTTCTCTTTTCTGTGCATGCTGCTGTAGTGAGAGGTTTATTGTTGGGCGGAGGTAGCAGTTCTTCCCTCCGCAGCTATCACCACCCCTTGTTCTGCCATTGATTGAAACTTCGCATTTTTATTCAGGCTTCTGTTGCTCTCCCCAGAGACTGATTGTTTAGCATACGGTAAACTGCCCCCTCCACAGGGATGAGCCAAAGAGCAAGCCTGGAGATGCTAGCAGAGGCTGTGGTTCCTACAGGGATGCCCTCTCGCTGGTCTAGAGTTGAGCATTCATTTGGAATTAATATTGGATCTGATCTTACTCCTTTCTTTGGAGATTTGAAACAGCGAGTGTGCCCAGAAATCTCTAGTTTTAGTGTCTCTTGAATGCCATTTGTACTTAACTCTGATGGGTCTTGGGATTGATAATAAAGTTCATAGGAATATTAGCACAGTCAATAATTTTAGTCTCTTGCCAAGTCTTTAACAACAACCAAAATGTGATGTGATGAAGATCACAAGTAGTACCCAAAAGACCAGTTCCACTTGGGAGAGCAGGTGAGATCACCAACTTTATCACGACTAGGGTAACAACCCTAGTGGTGTTACCTGGATGGGGCTGTTTAGTTCCCCCAGTGTGCTTATCAGATTTAGATGCTTGTTTTAAGTTCCTTGAGAACTTCAAGATGCACAGTTTACAGAAGGAAGCTCAGCCCTTCGATGAGGTCTCTGGCTTCTGTAGGGTTGCAAGTCTGTTGAGGCATCTGCACCAAAAGGAACAGCCAGTATAGGCTGCGGACACCCTTGGGCTGTCTTCTAAGTATTTTTGGACTTTCAAGCATTTTAGTGGTCTGGAACTATTTGAGGGGATTTTGTCCTTTGAAAGGACAGGGACTTTCTGAAGTAGCAATCCTGGAAAAAACATTTTGTTGGTGGAAGTGGGGAATTGTCCTACAAACCTATAAGCAAGAAGTCTCTTGGTTGGAGCAGCAAGGCCTCCCATCCCATAATTTTACACAGAAGGGTCCTTTTCCCCCACATCCTCAGCCTCTTTTAATAATGATGTGGAGCAAGTAAATTGTCTACTATACTCTGATCCCTTAATTGCTGTCATGTCACTGTACACCATTTCTGGGTAAGAGAAATGGGTCCATTTAAAAATTTCTGGAAGAAAGAGGATTGCCTGAAAGAAGAAAATCCTTTAATATTTAAAATGTTTCTTAAGATTTACCCAGAATACTTTGTGATTAAAGCTGGGGCTTCCTGTGATGAACTGACCATGAACCTTGTCTCTCGGGTGATTTCCCTGGTGTTGCCAAAGTCAATCAGACTTTAAGTGTGTTTCATGGACACTGTGTTGCTGTCACTGCAGCCATAAAAGTATCTGTTTAGGATACTGTACATCTTTGCTATTCAGGTAGTCTATCCCTTTGGTGAGTGAAGTAATTGTTGTCTTCTACTCTCCCTTCTGCCTAGCAGAAAGTACTACAGAGATTTTCTTATGCAATAGTCCTTGGTACTTCTAATATTTTTAGCAAAAGAAACTTTTCTATATTAGAATTGTCCACTGTCAGAAGACACAGTGCCAGTGAGTTTCTCTGTACTGCTGTCTGCTTAGACCCTCCTTCCTTTGGCTAGGACGTTGGCTTTTTATTACAAAGCTCAACTAAAACAAGCAAAAACATGATATGTAGAAGTACAGTTTTAACCAGGAATCTTACAAATTAATGTTTTGTGGAGTTGAGGCTCTCTTAAAACTAGTAAGTAGGCGCATATGACTTCATTTTATCCACACTTTCATTATCCGCACGTTAAAAGAAGAATTTCGGGGCCCGCCCTGGTGGCGCAGCGGGTTAAAGCACAGCACTGAGAATCTAAAGCCGCTTCCTCATGAGTTCGATTCCTGCCTGTCCTGGAGGTGACCACGTGGCGCGGCAGACCTCTCCTGACCCGCCCTCTGCTCCCCTCAGCAGTGTACTTCGTCGATCTGCCTGTTCTGCTCCCCACTCTGTCTCCGGTGAATCCTCTCACCCTCTGCATCTTTGGCCTGTAACCCAGTTCTGTATGAATAAATAAATAAATCTTTAAAAAAAAAAAAAAGAATTTCCTTAAACAAGCAACTTTTGCTTGAGGCACCTGTTGAGAATCTGGCTTTCTCATCAACAGCTTGACAAGGTGCCATTTTGTATTAAACACTGTAATAAAAGTGACGCAGGGATGAGTATGAGCTATGTTTAACTTAATACTAAATAACTTCTAGTAAGTTATTATGGAGGTTTGCTATGACAAAACTTTTTGCGAAGTCAGCCATATTTAACCCTGTTGTGTTGTCCCTCATCCTCACTGCAGTTGGCACTAATTGCTTCCTGTAGTAGAAGCAGCAGGCCAAAGACTGAGTGTGTAATGGAGACAGATTCCTTAGCGGTTATAGCCGTTTCCAGGTGGGGCTTGTGGATTCTTATTACTCCAGCCTTTCTGATGGCACTTTTTACTTTTAGACACTTTGTATTTAAAGGCAAAGCTTTATAAGCCAGAGCTAGCTAGTCTAGCTACTGATGCAGCTGAAATTATGTATTTCTCCAGATGGAGCCACTGACAAAATGCCAAGTTATGGAAGCTGCAAGCTCAGCTTTTCGTGGTCCTATGGCTCAGGTGGTTTCATGGTTTGAGTTAGGGCTTTTGAACCTTTTTGTTTCTGGGTCTGATGTTAGACTTAAAGGAAGCTCAGAGTATTTATTTAATGTGAAATTTAGTATTTAAGGTAACTGGCCTGACAACATTAAAGGGGATTTCAGAAGCCAGCTCGGCTGTGGGCTAAACATTTGCACTGTTTCTATATTTGTATCCATAGCCTCATCTCACCTCAGACTCAGACACAAAGCCTTTTAAATGGAGCTGTTAAAAATGACTGCCGTTTATGTAAAATAATGTACTGTGACCAATTGTTTAAATGGAAAATAAAGTGCTTTAACGAAAACAGTTGGTTTTGTGGTGCGTTTCCTGAACTCTTCTCAGTGTAGTGCTTTAACCCGCTGTGCCACCAGGGAGGGCCCGTTTCCTGAACTCTTAAGCATTATCGCTGAGATGCCTCTTGGCTACCTACCTTTCCCCACCAGGTGGACCTTACTGTCCTTAGCCCGAAACTACCCTTTTTCCAGGAGCTACTCTGTTAGTAGGCTCAGTCATTGCTTATTCGGTTCATTAGCAGCAGCAGTTCAATTCGCACCTTTAAGATAGTCAAACAAGACCCAGGTCATGTGCTAAGTTGGTTACTAAGCAGGTGTTCTGCATCCATCCCAGGCCAGGTAGTTTCATCATGGGTTCAAGCAGCTTGAAAGAGAACCATGGATCCCTTGGCATCACCCCCATAGGTTAGAGGCGACAAGGCAGCAGGGAGGCAGCAACTTGGACCCCCGTGCAAATCCCTATTCCCTCTTTGCTCTTTGGGCTATTCTCTGCCGCCCTCTACTGCACTCTGCCGCCCTGTCCTCTACAGCCACCCTTCCTCAGTCTTCAGGCTCAGGTGTGCCCACGCACGCACACATGCATGCATGCACTCACGCCCACATCAGGCTCCAGGTGCCGCTGAAGGTGAAGGCCAGAGGAAGAGGCTTTGCAAGTAGCAGAGCCAGTGAAACGGTTCCTGGTTTTTGCTGTGGGTACAGCCTGGCTTAGCTGAGTGAGTGAGGCCTTCTGTCGGGTCATTTTGGTGGCTGTGGCTGCTCCTAAATGTCGCTCCTCTGGTGCTGTGCTGAAGCGTCCTGCACTCTGGGAGCGTCTCCTGTATGTCTTCTGTTGTCTTCGTGAGTTGGAACCTGGCCTGGAGTCTGGCTGCCCTGTGCCCCAGGTTGGCAGAGGCAGGAAGATGCCATCTCAGACATGAAGCCTGTTTGGGAGAGGAGCTGCACATCCTCAGCGGTGGGAAGAAGCCATCATAATGTTCTTTGCGCAGGACACTACTGGAAACGACTTTGGGTAAAGTAAATGGCCATTATTCACCTCAGTAACTCTTATTTAGCCTGTTTGTTAAATAAATCCCTTTGTTGTTTCCTGAGCCTGAGCAGCCTTGCAATTGTATGCACGGGTGAAGAACCCAAGACGGTATTTGGGCAGCAGGGCCTTGCTCAGTTTGGGGTCCCCTGACACCCGGTGTCAACTGGGTTGACCAGCCCAAGGGTCCTCACCTTGAGTTGGTCACCTTAAAGTGCAAAGCAATCACAAGACACCTGGCAGTAACTTCTCAAAATTTGTTTTTCTTTTAGCAGTTGTGATTGGCTCAACCATCAGTTTGGATGGTTCTGCTTCTTCACCCCTTAATGTTTCTACTTTTACAATCTTAAGTTTTAAGTTAAGAATTTTGTACAGTCCAGTATCGACTTAATGTCTTTATTACTGGGGATTACATGGATATATATACGTATATATATACACATATATATATATGTGTGGTGTGTGTGTGTGTGTATAGCACGTCACTAGTTGGTTATTTTTGTATTTCTCTATAGAGAGTTCTGTAAGTAGGTAAAATAAGAACATGGGTTGCTAAAGACTTTCTAATTGATGCTTGAGTTGAAATAAAGAAAAGTTTAAGAGAAATGTAAGCTTTATGGGGTTTAATTAGGTCCCTAGCATGTTTACTTAAGGGATTCACCCCTCTTTATCTACTACAGGCGTGGCATTAAAGTAAAATTGATATTTGACTTCTGGGTACCAATCAGTCAATAGTCTGTAATTGTATTCTAGTTAAGTGTAAACTCGGGTTGATTTAGATGGAAGGATTAAACATGAGTGACTTTTAGTCCCATTTTCTTTAGTGTCCACTAGTCTTAAAGACTTTTTAGATGTCAACTGTAAAATTAGATTACTTGTTACATCCTTAGAGATACACAGCATCAGGGACATTGTTAAAGTTCAGTATGGTTCGTCATGCCTGAGTTATTCATCACATCTTCCATAGGAAACGGATGTAAGTCACTCTGTAGTCACTGTAGCCTGACATCCCCTCTGGGAAGGAAGAAGTGGTAACAGAATTTACTGAGCAACACGCAGAACTTTATTTTACCTGCTCAAATATTCAACTTAGCAAATAGTGTAGTTACCTTGGGGCTGCAAAGGCCCTTCTGGTTTTACTGTGCACATTTATCCCTACTTGGGTTTATGTAATAATCGCGTATTTTGTAATGAAAAACAATTTTCTGGTAATTCTCTATAAAAATTCATAGGAGGGAGTATTTTGCCAGTTGTTACAGTCTTTCAGCCCATCAAAGATCAAAACGTTCTTTGAATTCAAGGTAGAGATTGTGATACATAGATCAAGCACTGATCAAAACGAGTAGATAGATGGAATGTATTATTTAGAAGGTGCATTTGGGAGTGTGAATAGACATTTTAACAGATTCCTGGGTTGCTTTGGAATCTTGCACGTGCTTACTCAAGGTGCACTGAAGGGAGCTATCCCTAAAGTCGGGATCCGCTCTGCCCTTTGTAGCAGCTGCCTGGACATTTGATAGGTGGTTTCTCATGGGGTGGGCAGAACGGGCAGGGTTGACAGTCCCTGCTGTGATGCTCAGTTACTGGGACACTGACCACTCCTGTGCCTCCTTTTCTAGATAGTTGCTACTTTTAATTCTATTGACATTTGGCAATAACTTAAGCTATAAGGACACATTTTCTGTCACAGACTCAGGCAGGCTTGTCCTTAAAGTTTACAATGCTAAAATTACATCAGAGACATTTGAATGGCAGAATTCTAGGCTTCTTTGGCTACTCCTGCTGTGAAGCATGCTTTAGTGAATTAACTAGCAATTTAAGAGAACTCAAGGAATAAAGTACAAATTCCTAAAATAGTTCCTTTGATGCAAGAAGTATTGAATGGGTGGTAACAAAGATATATGCACATCTATACAAGGGTGAGTGGAGATAACACACACAGGAACCAAAGGAGAGTCTAGAGTCTCTGCTAAGCAACGCATTGGCTGGTGCTCATGGCCCACCAAGGGCGTGTTTCACAGGGCCACAGAGCCTCTGAATCACGGTGTTGCCGGCACCTGAAAGTCTGGAAGGATTTCAGTCACCTTCCTACGGAGTTGCTCTCGCCTTTCTTCTCTCGCTCTTTCCTCTTTCATAAATCTTGTGAATGTCTTCCATGTCTGAAACATGCTCCAGAGAATCTTCCTTTAAAAATAAAAAAAGGGAAAATTGAAACACTGAGGAAAACTTGACTCTCCAGTTAAAGTACATGAAAAACTTCACCCAAAAATGATCCTATATGAATAAGGCTTTATATAAAAGGTATGAAAATCACAGTTGGGCGTCAAATGGTGAGAAAGGCTGCCACGAAATGAAGCAGTAAAAAGATGGGTGTGACTAACATCTCGTTTTTAGTTTCCATCAGTTGGTCAGGAAAACCCTCGGTGAGAAAGTGACATTGGACTCTGCTGCGGCCGTGAAGCCCGGCGTCCTCTGATGGCAGCTGCACACTGTGAGCAAGGGCTCCGGCAGCCAGAGTCCTTGAGACCTGAAAACTGCCACAGCGACAGGCACTGAAGCCCCAGTGCTCAGACAAATACTGTTTCAGAAGCCACGGCTTCTCTGACCAACCACAAACAGTGGTCTTCAATTTTAGACAAAAGAATCCTCTAATGTTAACCAGGGAAAGCAGAGTTCTGGAAGGGTCGCATCTTGAAGCCATGTCTGCTGTCATAGTGAGATACACATTGCTTTTCAGGGCAGCACAAACACTCAGTGCCACCGCAATGGGCACTAAGGTGACTTCGGTAAGCCGAAGTCTCTGCCCAGGGAGGCAGCTGACCTGTTGTGCAAACCTCCCCCCCCCCCCGCCACACCCCCCCCCCACAGCAGTGGGGAGCTCCAGTGGGGAAGAGAAACATTGGGAGCCATCTGCTCTGGCGGTGAGGAGCATCTAGGGAGTTTGAAAGATGGTAACTGAACTGAATTTTGGTCAGGCAAGGGCAGGTTTTCCTAGAGGGGCTACATCTTGACTAAAGGCAAGGCAAGAATAGGATGGTGCGTGTAAGGAGGAATTATGTCTGTGAGCAGTTACATTGTTGAAATGACAGTGTAGAGTAGCTAAGTTTGTATTTTCAATTAGAAGCTTAGAGGGGTCTATTCTGGCTTCTTTCCCTTTAACAAAGTCCTAGAATGCTTCTCAGCCCCTGTTAATTTTATGGTTGGTATTGATTGAATGTTTATGTTGTTTTTTGATGGTGAAAGTAGTACTATTAAGAAAAATAAAATGGCTCAAGGAGTGGAATTACTTCACTCGCTTTCTTCTCTCAGCTGCTTTGCCCACCACTTAGAACTCCCTGTGCTCAGCTGTCTGGCCCACTCCCAGTCCTTAACCCTACACCCCTCACTCTTCTTACCTGCTATTCACACCTTTCTCCTGCTACACTCCTCCTGCTCTCTGACTTCCACATTTAGTTTCCTGCTGTTCTATCTTAACTCAATGCTCTGTCCCCTGGGAGAAATCTTAGTTCTTCTGAGATCACCTTTGTCTGCATTTATCTTCCCGCCCTCTGAACTAAAAGCACATCATCACAATCAGTCACAGCTCTGACCTGTTTACAATAAGCAGGAAGCATACATGCATGTCTGTGTGTATGTATCTAGCTAGTCTGTAATGTTTTCTACTCAATGATGGGAGCCAGAAACCATGTTATTAGTTGTGCTTCACAAATAAGTCTTGTGGATGTATTATGTATTAAGTGTGACTAAGTCACCAAGGTAAGCATTCCTATCTCAATGTCTACAAACTCCTGCACATTTTGTGTAAACCTGTATATGACAGACCTGTGTGCACTGTCCTGGGTGCAGGTACTGACTTTCCATACCATCGCAGAGGGGTCTATGCCTCCAAAATAAAGAACTACAAAACCAAGGCAATGTCAGAAATATGAGAAGTGCTGGTTCAACTAAGAGGACTATGCAAGTGGATAGCTGAGTCTGACTACAAAATAACTGATAATTACAGATTAGGTCTGGAGACAGCTTAGTCCCCAAGTATAAAATACAGATTTAGAAAATTATGAGTCTATAACTAATTATGAATGATACATCCCTGGAACAGACATAAAATTAAACCGCATATTCTTACTTAGGAACTACTTTTCTCAGTGTTCAACTACAATTTAAAGATCGAGCCTAGGCTAGTAGGTGGCTCTTCTTCCTTCCTCTTCACCCACAGCTTTTCTATACAATATTCTCAAAGAATATCACGTAAACTTGAATACGAACTTGGAATATCAAGTTTTAAATGTTAGTTCCCATTAAGAGACCCTGACTTTAAATGATGGTGTCAGTCACACAGAAGATCCACCCATTCGTTCCTGCACACTCTCTGTAGCAACAGCCAGACACTTGTCACTGTAGACACTACAGGAGCGCGCAAGGTGTGGTGCCCTACTCTGCTGGGAGGGACGGGTGATAAACGGCAATTATGCAGCTTCAGGGTCTTAAGTGCCATGACGAAAGCAGGGCAGGTTACTGAGTAGACAGTTATGTCTACCCAGGGACACGCGTTTGCACAGAGACCTGGCAATGAGGAGACCCAGGTCACAGGAAAATGTTGAAGCAGGTGTGGGCTTTGTCTGAGAACCACGGGAGGGGCCTGGTAGGACTGGAACCAAGTGGGGAGAGATGAAGTCTCACAGTAGCGCTTTCACATCAAAGAGGCACTGTCTGAGAATTAGTTCCTTAGTGAAGGCATGTATTCCCATGCTGGTGTTTTAATTCCAAACTCTGGTTAGGGTCCACTGTCATACTATTGTAGTTCACAGTTTGCAATGAGATTGAATGAGAAAAGAAGAGGATGGTTTGGAGTCGACCTGACTTGGAGTCCTAGCGCCATCATTTGTGTACCTGACCCAAACCACTAATTCATGCGAGCATTTCTGCAAGGGCAAGTCACTTCTGGACACCCTCACTCATGCCTCTGTTTTAGCACAAAATTAGAACTGACTGTGCTTATGTTCTTTAGCCAACAGGTTTCAGTACCTGTAAGTTAAGTAAAAAATGAGCAGGTTTTGATGGATATTAGAATCCTTGGCAATAAGGTAGGAATACTTTCCGAAAATAGAGATACATGGGCCCTCCCTGGTGGTGCATTAGGTTAGAATGCAGCACTGCAAGCAGCAGCAGCCCCTTCAGTGCGAGTTCGATCCCCTGCCCTGAAGGTGGCCCACATGGTGCGGCAGACCTCTCCTGTCCCACCCGCTGCTCCCCTCAGTGGCGTACACTTCATCAGTCGACCTGTTCTGCTCCCCACTCTGCCTCTGGTGAATTCTCTCACTGTCTCTGTGCCTCTGGCCTGTAACCCAGTTCTGTATGTGTAAATAAATCTTTAAATAAAAATAGTGATACACGCACACACATGCACGTAAATGAAAACAGAGCAACTGTAAGTCAACTGAGTGTAGTAAGAAAAGGGGTACTTCTGCACCCACACAGCAGTCTTTACACCTTGGAACTTAAAGGCATATGCACACCGCATTATGCTCATAAGCAATGACACAAAAAAGGAACATGCATGATGAAATTTCTATCTGAAATGCTTACATTTGGAAAACAAAGAAGAAACTTATTTATAAGGAATTCTTTGCCCCCAAAGAATGCTGGATGAGACAGACATTTCTGTGGTATAAATATTAATATGTTACACAGTGTGAATCCAATTATATCAAGTCCTAAACTAGGCAAAACTAAACTGTAGCTTTGAAGGCTGCATACTTAACAAACAGAAATGCAAGGAAAGCTTCATCACAAAAGTTGGGAGAGGAGTCTGCCTTTGGAAAGAAAGGACAGGACTTGTAACTGGGACTTCTGGGCACCAGCCCTGTCCTCCTCAATCTCAGTGGTATCTTCCACTTTGTAGAAATTCACTAGGCTGTGTGTGTGATGTCTGCACCCTTCTATATTAGTGTTATATTTCACAGTAACTAATGTAAAAAATAGAAACTGAAATTAAAGGATAAACCTATATGACTAGGCCCTCCCTGGTGGCGCAGCGGGTTAAAGCACAGCACTAAGAAGCTAAAGCCATGAGTTCGATTCCTGCCTGCCCCGGAGGAGATCCACATGGCGCGGCAGACCTCTCCTG